CTGTCCGTGTCTACCCCGTCTGCTCTGATAGCACTTACTGCGACGTCAAGCGGATTGGGACTGCCCTTCTGAAGTGTATTGCCTTACTGACCTTTTGGTTTCATGGTTGAGAGTATGAACATATCCTAGTTGTGCCCATCACCAGCTCTGCAATCTTGGACACATTTCTTAACCTCTCTGTGCCCCATTTTCTTCGACCATTAGATGAGGCCAGTAATACTGCCCACTTCATAGGGCTGTTGCAAGGATTAAAGGAATTAGTAAAGCATTTAAAACAATCCCCAGTGCCTTGTAAGTGTTTAATAGCGCTGGCTATTATTAGAAACCTAAAACTTTATTCGAAGAGAATTGTTCTCTCCTTCACCTTTTGTCTCTATATATAGTACAAGTCTTCTCTTTCAGATGGCAGGTGATGGTTTTAGAAATGCAAGCAGGGTTCTTCAAGTCCTCCATTCTCCATTCTTGACCTAGTAGCCTGAGTAAGAGATTGAAGCTTGCTGTTTACCCGTCTAATTAGAACTGAAGCCAAGTATCTCCATGGTTCAGAGGCTTCCGCATGTACTTCTGCACATGCAGCTTCTTTCCAGACCCAGTTCAAACGTCCCTCCCTCCATGCAGCCTTCCCTGATTTCTCTCCCTTTGAACTCCCTCCACCAAGCTAGAGGTAATAATCTCTCTGAACTTCTAGAACACTTCATCTATACCTCCTCTTTCAACGTGGTCTTAGAATTCCTTGTGTGTATCCCACAGTTTTCAAATACTACCCAGGCAGGATCAGTGCCAGGTTCTCCTTCGCATCATCTACAATGCCCTGCACACAACAGATGCAGAGTAGATGAGTGACAGTAAATGGACATATCTGCCACAGCATCAAACAAGCTGAGCTCTGTTGGTTTGGGCGTATTCAGCTGTAAGCAAGAGAAAATCCGACTAACGTGCCTGAAATAGGCAGACCACGGAATTTCATCCGAGAGCAGAAAGTCTGGAGGTTATAGCCCCGAGGCTGGGCTATCCAGGCAGCAGGGTCAGTCCTCTGAGTCACCATCTCCATGCTCCTTTAGGCCTTGCCTCCTACTCACAAAATAGCTGCCACAGCTCTAAGCTCTGCTCGCCCCTTTTGTTATGTCTCATTGGCCAGACTGTGTCACATGACCAGCCAGTCGCTGGTGAAAGAGAAAAGTGTTGCCTCCAGTCTTGTTTCCTAACGTAGTCTGGGGCCAGTGCTGTTGACGCCTGGCTTCGGTGAGCAGAAGAGGAGGAGAGATGGCTGCTGATTGGACAACCAACCATATCTGTTGCCCCATGCTTTGCTGATACTTTCATGCCAAGGAAACAGGGAGAGTCAGAGAAGTTTCTCTTAACAGCGTGGTAGATTTCTAGTAATGAGACCAGTATACATTTTAGAGCACTTTAGCCTTTTGTGGGTATTGAAAATTATTGCCATCCCATAGATTTGGACCATGCTTTGTTTACAAAACACTTTCCTATTTTGAAAGGCAAGATCACCGAGTGTTTAAGAACACAGAGATAGAGTGCCTGCTTCAGCGTTTTCTTGCCGAGTGACCTTGTACAATTTACTTAACCTCTCTGTGCCTCAGTTTCTCATTTGTAAAATGAGAATAATGATAGACTATGTCATAACTTTGTTTCTGAGATTAATTTACATATACAAATACCCATCATGTACACCAGCGCTTGGCACACAAGAAGCACTCCTGAAGTTGCTATTATTACATGTTCTTATTTAGTAATCCTGTCACTCTTGAGATAGGAACGATGAGAATTTTAAGGTCAGAGAGGTTAGATGACTTGTCCCTTGCTCCCATAGCTGGAAAGGAACAGGTGAAGGGGGTGATGCCTACACTCAGGGTCCTCCGCCCTCCTGACCCCACTCCTTGGATTCTCTGTGGACACTGACCGCGGGTGACAGAATTGCAGCGGGTGGCTGAGCATTGTTTCACGAGTGGCGCTTTATGTCTCAAATAAAATATGAATTAGACAATTCTCTGAGAACAAAAACTGTCTTAAGGTCCCTCTTACACCCAGCCCCTAACGGGAAGGAGGGCACAGGGCAGACCCTGGTTACCCAGGTCTTGAAGGGGAGCCGAGCCTTGGCGATGGGGAACAGAGGCCCAGAGCGGCCCTCCTCAGGCGGGCAGGCGGGCCCGGGGGGCGGGCGAAGAGCGAGGGCCCGGTCTGAGCCTGATTACACTTACGCTTTAGGAAACTGCTGTTGAGTAGTAAGTGTTAACCGCATGAAAAATGAATACAGATCAACTTGTGTCTGAATTTACTCTCAGAATTCCCTGTGGACTCTATAAAATGTCATTTTACCTTTTTTTCCCACCCATCTAGCTGTGGAGGCAGTGGCAGATTTACATTATTTTACATCCAGTTAAGATTTTCTTTCCTTTTGGTTATGTTTTTAAGAAGAATATTTATTTCCTATAAAGATGTGCTTTTGTTAAAGACAATAGTACCCTTTGGGTAGTCACACAGTGTTATTTCACAAATACCTATAAAACTGTTAAACAAGCTGTGATTGCCGGAGCTCTGATTAAAAAAGGTGCTTTCTATTCATCTCTAACTTTGAAGCCCTGTGAAGTAGCTTAACCACATCTTCCCTGGTGAGGAAACCAGCTGGCAGAGAACTACTGGGAGACGGGGGCACGTCTGCTCAGACCTTAGCGGGCAGGACTCGCATTTACCTTCCCGCCGCCTCCGGAAGCCTCATCTGCACTGGCATCTAGCTTAGGACTTCACTTGCAGCCTCGTAAGACAGGGGTCCTGGACATCTGCAGGTGGGACCAGGAGGAGTGAGGGAGGACCAGACCGGTAGGAGGAGGAGGGACCTGTCGCTGACCACTTCCAGACACCAGCTCCTGGCTCTGCTACTTCTGGGCTGTGTCTCTGGCACAAGTTACTTGGCCCCTAAAATGGAAGTGATACTTATACAACCATCTTACCCTGGATATTGAGAAGATTTTAAAAAGTATGTCTTGAAATGTGTTTGGCCTGTTGTCTGGCCCCAGAGGCCTCAGTGGATGTTGCTAAGACTGGGAGGCGAGGGAGCGGACTTTAGCGTGGGGCTTCGCCGTGGTGGCTTCTTCCAGACAGTCCGCCCAGCCGCCAGCTGCCCTTCTTGCCCAGAGCCCCTGCCTTCTCTCCGGCCCAGCATTTCAGGCCGTGTGAGCGGAGAGGTATTGTGCGTACCTTCCCAGCGGGGCACTGGCTCGAACACAAATGCGCTCTGAGAGCAGGCGCAGGGGCAACTGTGTTCCAGGAGGAACGAAACTCACTCAGGCCAGACTGAGAGGGAACCGCTGAACCTCAGAGCTCAGGTTCCACTGATTCAGAGTTTTAAGCATTTGGTTAGAACCAGACCAAAGTGTACTCTTGCATAATTGGAAACAGGATTGTAGGGGCAAGATTTAAAGGCAGTAGAGAGAAGACACACCCTGAGGACCCCTCCTGAGTTCAGAAGCCCCCTTTCCGTGTCATGGGTCCCTAAGCTGTATCGTTCCAAGCACTCTTGAGCTGGACACTGTTCTAAGTGCTGCCTGGTTAATTCAGGTTATCGTCACAGGGACCCTGGGAGGCAGTTACTGTCGTTTTTCTCACCTTGCAGGTGAGAAAGCTGAGCTACAGAGAGGTTACCCAGCTGGTTAGCAGGGGGCTGGGGCTGAACCCAGGAGTCTGACCTCGGAGCGGTTGTTCAGCCCATTTCGGTCGCTAGTAGCATCCTCCTTCCTGGACGGATACTGGGCATGGGGCCAGAGTCCTCTCTGCTCCGCACCAGCGTGGGTCTCTGTTTCCTAATGTCAACTCTAACAATGATAATAATTACTATAAGCTGTATGAAATAATAACGTATTGCTGTTATTGTTATCATCTAGCCCTTCCCAGTACCGGCCCTGTGTCAGGCCTTTGACATGTTGGAAGGCAGGTGCCGTTGTTATACCTACTCTATAGTCTTCAACCCGAAGGGTCCCCACTCTTCATGTTATTTGTGTTTTCAAATTTTTTAACATTTTCAGTAATCATTTTACATTCCCTCATCACAGCCATGCTCAAAAACATTAAATAATTGTGCATTTCCCACCGTACTCAGGTGCTATGCTAATTATAAAATACTCTCAGCATGTCCCTGACTCAGTTCCCCCAAGGATCTGTAGTAAATAAGCTCTGTTGTGTTAGATGTGTTCGTTTGTTCTTAGACAAAGGAAACCTGCGATTGCTCTTAAATTCGCTTTGAAACATCCCCTCGTTCAGTGTTTTCACACGTTCACAAAGGCCGCACTTCCCCCACCCGCCTGATTCTGAGGCCTGGTTGCACTGGGAGATGTTAACTGACGAAACCTTAAGTAATGGCCCCGAAATGTAAAGTAATTAATGCCAGGATAATAGTACAGGGTGGGGATCTCAGTGTTTTAATGAGGGCTCAGGAAACAGTCTGAGGGAAGATGCTGAAAGCAGAGGGGGAAGTGAATGTTCCCACAATTAATGCTGCATATTAAAAAATGCCTATTAAAAAAAAATGGCCTCTTCTGCCTGATCAATACACCTTGTAACCTTTCCTGTCACGTGGGACTTCACTGTGGGACTCTGTGGTCCTATTAATCAAAAAGATAATCACTAGTCTGCCCTTATCTACTGTGGAACATTTCCAAGGTTTTTTTGTTCTTTTGAGGGGGGGCGGGGTTTGAGGATGAAATTAGTAATCACCCTTTTTAGAAAATTTATGAGTGTATATATTTTACTCTCAGATATATTTATTCAATGCTAGCTCTGTAATGAGAGTTTTTACTTTCTGTTTTTCTTTCCATTATCCCTGAAATGAATGGATTATGGCGAAAAGATTAAAGTAGCATAATGCAATGTGGTGCTTGCTAGTGCCTGTCGGAGGTATGAGTGGGCCTCTCCAAGGTTTGTGTCTTTTATGAACACCTTTCAGATTGTGATTATCTAATAGACTTGGATACCTGTTTATATTCTTGCAGGCATTAAACGTCATCTTTGAAAAGATCCCAGAAAACGACAGTGCCGATGTCTGTCGGAATATTTCAGTCAATGTTCTTGATTGTGACACTATAGGCCAAGCCAAAGAAAAGATTTTCCAAGCCTTCCTCAGCAAGAATGGCTCTCCTTACGGACTTCAGCTGAATGAAATTTGTCTCGGTAAGGGATGCCTGAGCTATTTTGTCCCCATCCCCCGCGGAGCACCCCTGCTACCCGCCTCCCTCCTCCCAGCACAGGAGCTTCCATCTGGCGAAGCTTCTCTGGCCTGCCGTTCCCAGAGGGCGCAGCTTGGGGCCAAGAGACTGCGTTGCTCTCTTGAGAGCATCGTGATACTTCCTCGGAGGCATAATTCTTCAAAGGTGCTGTTTTTAATATTATGTTTGTAAATCAGATTCATGAGATTGCTAACCCTGAGACCAAAAGGATTCACCTTGCATCAAGAAGTACAAAAAGGTGTAAACCCCGTGCCCTCTGTATGTGTTGTGTTTCACTTTGGCATTTGATTTGTTTGTTGTGATACTGAGTGTGTCATTAGTGGGTGGCTTAGACTCTCAGTGTTAGATTCAGCACGCTAGAAAGGTCATCCTCCTCTCTGCTAATCTCATCCTGCATTAAGTATATCCTCCATCCTTCCTGAACATGAAGCGGCATCTGCTCGGCATTCATTTTCGGGTTCTATTGGTATACTGCAAAGGAGAGCATATGTGTGAGCCAACTAACAGGGCTGCACTTCACTCAAATGTTCATCAGCACTTTAAAGTTGAGCTGCGCACAGTGCTCACAGGAGAGCGCCATGGGATTTCATAGCAGGTAACGGGACAGGAAAGAGAGTAAAATCACATCAGTGACAGTGTAACAAGGTTCATCTCCCCTCTGTGTACAGTTGTAGCCTCCACTAAGCAGGCAATTAAAATCATCCCACCCCACCCTCGTGGTCAAACCTGGTGCGTAAAAGGCCATTGAGAGAAGCCTGGGGGTAGGGTGTGGCAAATTTGAATGAAACCATGTAACTCTGTAGCAACTGTGTGAAGTGGTTTTAAAGAAAACCCAGTTGCTGGGCACCTCTGTCTCCTGCATCTCTTCTGTTTGCTTTCTTTCGTCGGACTCTTGGGCACTTGAAGACCGGTTTAGCTCACTGGTTAGTGCAAAGTCAAAGGGGCGGCCCCAGCCCTTAGCCAGCCTCTCACAATGAGTGGCTCTGACTACAGAGGAGATAGACCTACGGAGCCAAGGACCACAGGAAGAACAGCCCAGCGGCCTCACACAGTCCCGGCCGCTGCCGAGTCAGTGGTAGGGTCCTCCCACCATTCCTGGCTTTGGCCCATCAGGTGCTCCTGGCCTCCTGCTGTAAGAAGGCAGGAGCGAGACAAGCCAACTAGAAGCTTCCCGTTGCACTCTGATGATAAATGGGACATAGCATACCAGCCATGTCAGGCTTCTGCATGTCTGCTGATCTTCCAAACTACCTCCACTGCTGGCCTCAGAAAGCTAAGGCAAAGCCTTAGAAACCAGCCAGTAAAGGGTATTTAATAGCGAGACAGTACCAGAAGCAGCTCTGCTCAGACCCCCTTATGCAGAGGCTCACAAACTCAGATGCCCGAAGAGGCAGGAACTATCGTAAATAAGGGAGGTGGGCCTGCCCAGAAAAGCAGGAAATGATGGGGCCCGACTTAGCTGGGAAAAGACACGCCATCTAAGGGGGCAGTGTCACTTAGCTTTAGCCAGCAGTGGGCCTATATGGTCCATGTTGCCAGCTGGTAGAGTTTTTTAAAGGAGAAAGCAGAAGTCCACATTTTTACATGCAATGTTCCAAACATTAAATGTTGGTTCTGAATTGACATTAAAATAAAAAGTAAAATGTGGTGCAGGTTCACAAAAGAGAACGCACACATCTGTGGGCCACATTCTGACCCTAGGGCGCAAACTGGCAACCTGTGAGGAGGAATTCGAACCCTGCATATTGATGGGGAGTGTCCCCTCCCCAGGACCCTGCAGAGAACAGCTCACAGCGCACCTGCTTGTGAACACAAATACATGCTGTGAGCATACAAGTTTGCTCTGGGAATTTTCTGAAGAGCCAGTCCCTCTGAGGAGGCGTTATTCTATCTTCATTCAGCTTCACTTCCAGGCTGAGCCGCAGAGTAAAAGCTTCAGGGAAAAGTGCTTTTACAAGTCAAGCCCTAAACATAAAAGCCGATAGATCACTAAACGTTCCAACAAATATCTGCCACTTTATTTAAATTTAATCTATTTATAAATAATATTTGCAAAAGTGACAGGGTAGCATTTAAAATTTCTCATTACAATTTTAAAGCAACTGAAATGCCTTTTTTTTTTTCCCCTCCAGAGCTTCAAGGGGGCACGCGGCAGAAGGAACTCCTGGATATTGACAGCTCCTCTGTGATTCTCGAAGACGGAATAACCAAGCTTAACACCATCGGCCACTACGAGGTAGGAACCAGGCTTAGCCCCCACCGTCCCCTCCCTTGACCCCAGTCCTAACGGGGTGAGGTCATCTCTGGTACCTTGTAAATTCCTTTAAAAAATTCCAGGACTCCTAGCCATTTTCTAGAATAGTTTGCAGATTACTTTTCTCTGGTGCAGAAGTTTCCCTTAGTTGCTCGTTTGGAAGAGCCTGTGGATTACTGTCTCTCATGGTCTGTTGGTTCCTCTGGGTTCCCCTCTCCAAAAGCTTTGATTTTCGTGTGAGCCCATTGCTCTCCATCCTGCAGTTTAGGTAGGAAATTCCACCTTTGCAAGATTCTCTGGCCTCTCAAGGCATGTTTCTCAGCAAATCCCTAGAAGAGTTAGTATTTAGCTTGACGCCAAATAAAGCCTGTAAGAGTCCTAAGGCTCACCGCTCTCCAGGGTTCACGTTAGACCGCTAACCTTTTCTGCAGGGTCCTTTTTTTTCTGAAGGCGTTCTACATTTCCTGTTTGTGATACTCAGCCCCACCTCCTTTGGCCCCTGACCCACAGGGTGGGTGAGCCTCGATGTGGGCGAGGGGCGCAGGTGGCCTCTCAGAGATTGAGAAGCCTGAAGAGAACCAGAAAAAGGAGGCAAGCAAGGCTCCTGAACACACTGGCGTAATTGGAGTCATTTAGGAACATTATCCAAATCTTTGTCAAATACCTACTATGTGCTAAGAGCTGGGGATGCTTAAGAAAGGAGCAGAGCCCAGGCCCCTGCCCTCACAGACCCTACAACCCAGGAGAGCGGATGGAGAGGGGAAGAGGAGATAAGTAGTGAGGCAACACCTTATGGTGGTAGAGTGCTGTGGGTGGGACGACCCGGGAAGGCTTCCTGGAGGAAGCTCTGACTCAGCCGAGACCTGAACTTAGCCAGGCCAGGGTGGGGTGCTGGCACATGTAGCAGGGATGAGAGAACATGTGTGTTCTTCCACAAAAACACTTTGGCTAAAACTTGAGAGGAGCAGGGGTAGCACTGGGATAGTAAGAGTCAACTTTATGGAGCCCTGCCTCCGTGCCACATGCTGACCTTACCGTTTCTCCGTATTTCGGCTCATTCGCTCTTCTAGCAGTTCTGTGAGTTGGTACTATTATTCACCCACTTTATAGAAGGGTACAGTGGGGCTCAAGGAGGTTTACTAACAGGCAGTGACTGAGTGAAGATTTTCACCCAGACAGCTGGACCCCAGGGCCTGTGGCTTCACCAGTACGCACCACAGCTCCTCAAGGAGTCAGCCAGGGACGTGGGAGAAGAGGGGAGAAGAGGGGGTGCAGATGATGCAGGCCCCGTCAGCTTCTTTGAGGGTTCAGGGTTTTCCCCAAGAATAGTGGGAAGCATTGGGGAATCGTAAGCAGGGGCGATTTGGGTTTCAGAAATGACTGCGGCTGTGCGGGGAGCACAGAACTAAGGGGTGCAAGCCTGGGAATGGGGAGACCCTCTAGACGCTGTCGTTAGGAGAATTTCAGGTGAGGGACGATGCGGACCAGAAAGGGCACCGTGGCTCTGGAGACAGATACGGGTGGGTGGATTCAGAGACGGGCGGGAGGTGGACCCCACAAACTGTGTGGGTGGGGGAGAGACCGGCTGAGGGGCGGGTCAGGGTGGCGCTCAGGGATGGCAGGGCAGTGCATAGGCGCACAAGCTCTTCCAGGGATGGAGAAGACAGGAGGAGCAGCTTCCAGGCCGCCTGGAGGGTCAGTGGTGCCCCTTGTCTTTGTGGCTGTCAAGTCCCGGGGAGACGTGTCTGCACCTGAAAGGCCTTTGGCCCCTGCCAGGCACCCCCTCAGCCAGGGAGAAGCTGAGACTGTTCTTCAAGCACAGCTTTCTGGACAACAGCCGGGAGCAAAGACCACCTCATCCGTAGGCTTGGCTGAGTGGGTTTCTCGCCCAGTTTGGAAACAGCTGCTGTGGCTGGCAGCTGAGTGGGTGCTGCTCCTGCAGCCTTTGCTGGAGGCACCTCGCAGAGAAAGCTGTGCTCACCCTCCAGCAGCTCGGCCCTTCCAACCTTGGAATCATCTTGCCAGGAGCTGCTGTTCTTAGCTTTGGAGAGTATGAAAATCCCCAGGGAACTTTCTGAAAGTTCGATAGTATTCTAGTTGGTGGGCCACACTGGGGCAAGCAGTGCTCTAGGGAATCTAGTAGAGAGGACATTAGAGCCGGTGGAAGTGCTTAGAGAGGAACTTCTATGTCATCAGTTTGAAGTTCAGGTTGCAGACCCCCAGCCATCTCCTCCTCTGCTCGTGCCTGGCTAGCGAACCTCTCTCAGCAAGTTTGGAAGGAGCACAGCCCTCCTTTGGTGCTTTTGGCTCATGTGCTTGCCTTGGTCAGCTGTGCGAGGAGAGCTGGGCACCCTGGTCAGTTTTCTCAGTGTCCCTTGGCAACTCGGTGGCATGGTGTGGGCCCCAAAGGAAAGGGGCGTGGCCACGACCTCCATTAAGGAAAGACAGGACAAGCCACTCCAGCAGGGAAAACCAGGGCCCGCCACAGCTGTCTGCGAAGCAGGGGAAGGCTGTCAGGAGACAGAGAACATCAGTGTTTGCTGGAGACATCCGCTGTGCTAGACACCTATCTGCTTGGAGATGATAATGAAATTAATCCAGCCTGTAGTCACTTCCTGTCCAAATGATTTATTGGCCTCGTAACCTAGCGTTACCACATGGTGGTAATAAATGACAAGACTAGGACGCAAGGGTTTAAAGGATTCTCCTCATGTTTACAAAGCTAAGCCATAAGAAAAATAAAACAAAACAAAACAAAAAAAAACAAACCCCAGAAGCTTAGAGGAAATGGGGAGGTCATTGAGCCCTGTGAGTTCTATGCCTGCACCATCTCCAATGCCCTGATCTCCAAAGACTGCTCAAAAGAAAGCGGCCACTACTCTCAGCCACCAAAGTCTATACTCGGTTTAGTTGCACCCCTGCAAGTTCAAAATTTGGAGTAATTTGACAGGGCTGGGCTGAAGCTTGCTTGTGCCCTTTCGTTAAAGAACAATTTTCTCCTGAGCACTTGCACCTCCCTCTGAAGAGACAAGATGTGAAGTATCACTCATATTCATTTGCTAAAGTGCCCTAGTTTGAGTCACTGCAAGTACTTGAAAGCAAAAAAACTGTATTTTATTGAAAACTGGGGTCTAACTCAAGAGTTTTTAAGGGATTCAGCATCCTCTTCCTCCAATTAGCCCTGATTAGTTAGGTTTTAAAAGTTAATCTTTAGTGACAGCCCAGTTCCTTCTAAACACAGCCCCCGCTGCTGGGGTGTGAGCCTGTTTTTTGTTGCCTCATTCTGTCCTTGGGGCAAATGAAGTGGAGCTAGTCTCCTTTGAATGAGTTACTGTCTATATATTTGAAGAACAGGTTTCCACAAGGGCATCTGAGAGCACAGGAAAAATATAGCGTCTCATGGGCCAAATGCAGGCGGCCTCCAGAGCTCTGAGCTGCTGGCAGTGCCGTCACCTACAGGATGGCACCCTTCCCAACCCTGGGCATCGGCCTGGTCACTTTCCACAATGATAACACAGCAGCCGGTGCCCAGCGCTGGCCACATGCATGAGCCCAATTCATATTTATAACCAGTTTCCATCAGATGAACTCAAAGGACGGCGACTTTCTGCTCCGGTCTCACTCTGTCCTGTGCAGCCAGTGGTGTAAAGCTGACGTCTTTACAAACTCATTAAACCAGGGGCCGCCTCCTCCCTATAATGAAGTTCTCCCACGTGCTTCCGTAACTGGCTGTCGCCGTGTGCGTGTTGACGGTGAAGGGAACAGTGCTGTGTTCTGAGCTGTGTGGATGTGTCGGGGCTGGGGGGTGGTTTTTCAGGATCCAGGCCTTCCTTGCTCTCACCTCCCCCACCCCATGTGATCTTTCGCTGTCCCGAGTTGCTGCACCCACACCCTCCTGTGGAGTGGTGTCATGTACGTAGGGCGGGTGTTGGATCTGGCAGGAAATGTTCTCTGCAGATCACACTTCTCATTCTGAGCTGTGAAGTTTTGAAGGGCATTTAAACCATTGTGTCATTGAAGAGTGTTCCTTATAACAGGTGAAGTGGTCACCGCTAATGTCAAAGCTGTCACTCAAAGGACATTTAGAGCTCATAGGAATGGCCCAAAGGGCCTGCTGAGTAGAGTAAGTGGTCCTTCCAGTCAGGTGTGTCATGTTGACACTAGAATGAAGGCATTGCGCTGTCTCTGTTAAAGATTTCTTACAGGATGAATGACTTTAGATATTTATTTCACAAACGCGTGGAATGCTTGTATACTGTGCACTGTTCTAGGCTCTTTGACAGTGACTCCAGTCCTCATTATAGCCCACTGAGGTAGATGCTCTCCTTATTCCCATTCTGAGGCACAGGGAAGCTAAGAAACTTGGCTGTGGTCACACAGCTCTTCTCGCTGATGATCCAGGCCAGAAGCAGATGAAAAAGGCATTGCACCAGAGACTGTGGCTCTTCTCAGGGCCAGAGGGACACCCTTGTTCAGAACCAGGCTTGCAGCCCGTGCTCCCCGCCTCTGAGGCAGCCTGGCTGCAGAGCTGGGGCCGATTTAGGAGAAATCCTGGTAGTTACCTTTTCTGATGCCAAATTCAAGAGGGTAATTTCCCTTCAAATCTTAGGATGACTCTCATGTCTGTGAGTTTATCAAAATACTTCCTTATTTCTAATCCTACTTTAACATCATTCCTCGAACATGATGCTAGTTACGTTTATCAGAAGGGAGGCCTCTTTCAGGCATCCAAGAGCTGACAGTGCCGGCCCAACAAGAGCACAGGGTGCACTTAGCTTCCCGATTTCACACTTCCCACTGGAGGCCAGACTGCCTCCCAGGGGGACCAGCCCGCGGTTCTCCCTCACAGTCCTCAGGGAGTAGTTGGCTGAGTAGCCCAGGGCTAATTCCAAGTACACAAGGAGGAAGCAATTTTACTGTCTTCAAGAATCCTTTAGAGCTCAAGCCTGGCTGTCAGGGACTGTGCGTGTGATTTGATGTGTCTGTTGAGAATGTTCTGAAGAGCCCAAGCTGCCCCTCCCCCTCTCACTGAAGAACTGAGCAAGGTCATCCCTCTGGCCCTAAGAGAGGAAGATTCCTATTTCATCTGCCTCCAGCCTCGGGGTGTCAGCAAGAAGAGCCAAGAAGGAAGATGGGGTGAGTGGCATTGATGTGTGGCTGCCGGGACCATGCTAGTAGAATAGAGTTGTTTTTATGTAATAACCATTTTAGGAGATGAGAGGTACCAGCAAGGGCTTCCACATGGTGATTTATATTGATTATTGTGTTTTCACATTTTTAAGGAAAAAATATACTATTTCAGCCCATAGTCATAATTATGAGTAATTCTCATAAAATTTTTAGGCTGCAATTCCAGCTTTCCTTTCAGGCTAAACTAATGAAATCTTCAATATTTGACCATATTTACCTATAAAAATGGCAGTTTCATAAGATTAAATGCAAGTCCAACCTTATAGTGCTAGAAAATCCATGTTTATGGAATTATCTACAATATATGCTGTAAAGATAGCATTTTAGAACAAAGAAATTTCACCCTCACTTGCAAATGGCTTGGCGAATACATAGATTCTGTGCATTTTAAGAGTTACTTGAGGTTATTGATGTGTGTCCATTTCTCCCACTTCCGATGGTGGGAAAGTGTACGTTCATCTCCGCAGCATTCCAGCATGGGCCAGCCGTCCCTGAAGTCATGTGGCCTTGTTGTCACATCGAATTCTGGAGCTCTGCAAGACTGGAAGGAACTTAATTTGAAATTGCCATGTGGACCAGTTCTGCTATGGGCCGGAGGAGTATTCCTGCCTTGGATCCATCCAGTGACATTAATCTTTCGTTGATTTAATTTGGTTTTCATTCCTAAAGTAGGCGCCCAGAGGATGCACCCTGCCTCTCAGGAGCACAGGAGGATTAATGAGTCACTTTTAGGAATGCATTTGGAGCTCCTCAGATGGAACGAACAGCATTATATTTTTAACACTTTGAATTCTGCGACACTTTTCAAAAAGGCGTTTCTGTCCATAACTTGGTAGCAACTGACTTGTGTGAAATGCAAAAATGAAACCTCCCTCACCTCCAACATCTGGAAATACACTACTTTTCTGTCTTTACAGTGAGGTTGAAGTATCACATGGCAGGGGATACCCCAGCCCTAGAGCAGCTGCGGAAGTTGGAAACACACTCAGACACATCCATGCTCAGAAACACACAACTCATCTGCTAATAAAATGCTTTCACACTTGCTCTCGGGAGATAATTTCAGAGTGAAATCTCCCTGGTACAAGCTGCGCCTGCGCGTTCTCAGTGCCTGCGCACAGCGCCAGCCGTGGGTCGTTGCCAGCTCTGGAAGAGACATTTGAACTCTTGGCAGCGCTCCTTATCGGAGGGCCCATCCGTGGTGTTTGTGATTATAGAGTGAGGGTGCTCGCTTTTGGCAAAACAAAGCGTCTGACAGTAACAGAGTATTGGCTCAACACTCAACGGGATCCATTTGGGATTCATTCTTTGACAATTACCCAGAATGAATCACCAGCTTCCTTTATGAAAAGATATTTATTGGCTTAGAAGCAGATCATATCCAGCTCTTCATGGGGAAGAATTTTGTACTATGTTGAAACATTCTCATAAAACCCAGTGTTGGAGGATTGCTAAGGGGGAGCCTGCACACGGTGTTTAATTGCATCAAATATGGAGGAAAATTGAAAAACCAGCCAGAAAAACAATGAATGGCTCAAGGGGAAAGGAGAGGGGGTTTGGTAATAGCAGAGTCAAAAAGCTCAACGAAAGATCAGAACCTCACTCAAGACACTTTGCAGAGGCCTGACGGCCCCAGCCAGCCCCTGCCTAGCCCCGCTCCTCACAAGGTGTCACGATCACCAGCAAGCAGTTGGAGGCCTGTGGCCCAGATTCAGCAGCTGGCTGGACAGCTGTGCTCTGGAGCCTCTCCGGGGCTGTTTTCCGCTCTGTTCCTTCCTCCGTGGATGGAACCTGAAGGAGATTAGGCCCTAATCCTTTGTGCTTGCTTAACAGGTTTGTACATACTGATAACCAACATGTAGCAGGCCAGAAGAGAAATTCTGGGTTCCTACTTCTTTCCAAACTGGGGAAAGCCAGGTCCAACTTAGTATTAGAAATCAGAACAGCCTTAGAGCTATAGGGCGGAGGGGACAAGCACAATCCCAGAATGGAGGTGAGGATTTCTGTTCCCCAACCTACCCCTTAGAGCAGTTTGTTTCTCCCAAGGAGGGAGACCTGCCTCTGCCTCGTAGCATCCAGCTCTGCTGGGCAGGTCAGAGAGGGGTACCCTGGAAGGCCTTCTACCTCTGGGTTCTGCAGTCCCAAAGGCCTCAGGTGAGAACTGTTGTCTTTATTTCCAGAGGAAACTACACACAGGCATTATAATGGTGTGTCAAGATGGTAAAAGCATTTATTTGTCAAACGTGTACTTTTTAAATCTGTGGCAATTTTTTAACAGCTCTATTGAGATATAATTTATATACCATAAAAGATCAGCTTTGTAAAGCATACAGTTCAATGGTTTTTGGTGCATTTGCAGAGTTGTACACTCATTACCACAATCTAATTTTAGAACATTTTCATCACCCCAAGAACAAACCTTAACATCACTAGCAGTCGTTCCTCACTCCCCCGACCACTGCTCTAGGCAGTTGAGCAAAATCTACTTTCTGTCTGTAGAAAATTGCCTGTTCAGAGCATTTTATATAAATGGGATCGTGCCATATATGGCTTTTTGTTTCTGGCTTTTTTCGCCTAGCATGTGTCAGTACTCCTTCCCTTTTGCCGTATGTCTATTCTTTTAGGTATATTCATACAATGGAGTAATATGCAGAAATTAAAAAGGGACAAACTGCTTGTAGCAGCAACAACTTGAATACACATCACAGACCTTAATATTGACCCTAAGAAACTAGACACAAGAATATAAACTGCATGACTCCATATAGATGAATTTCAAGAACAGATACAACTAATTAATAGTGATGGAAGTCTGAAAAGGAAGGGGTCATTATAGACTGGAAAGGGATCATGGAAATACTTCTCAGGACCTTGAAATAAAATATTATATCTTGATGTGGGTGGTAGCTACACAAATATGTAGTTCAGTGAACATTCATTGAGATGTATACTTTATATTAGTGAATGTGAAGTATTTGTCTGTAAGTCATCATTAAATTTTTTAACTTAAAAATGTATGCAATTTTTATGATTTTACAAGCTGCCTTTTGAAAATACAGTACACCTGCGTAAATGAGAACAAATCGGAAGTGTGCTGCTGCTGAGTTAGAACTCCTATAACTGCCACTCGAGCCAGGAAAGAGGACACTAGGGCCAGTTAGAAGCCCCTGCCCCTCAGGATCACCAATGCCTCTCTCTTCTCCAAACCTCTAACACCATAGTTTTGACTGTTTTTTTTAGCTTTATGTGAATGGAATCACACAGTCTTCATTCCTCTGTGCTGGGCTTCTTTTCTTTTGTGAGTTTCAGATATGTGGCATGCAAGAGTAATTTGCTCATTTTCATTGTGTTTATAACATTCTGTTGTATGAACACGCCCAAGGTATTTACTCATTCTGTTGATGGTATCTGGGTCGTTTCCAGCACACGGCTGTCAGGAATAGTACATTAACAGGCTATGTGCTGATTTCTTCTGGGCATACATCTAGGTGGGAAACGGCTCTGTTGCAGGTAGATGCCAGCTTTTTGGAAACCTGTTTCAGCATTTATTAACACAGCAGGATCTTCCAAAATGAGGGTGACTCTAGTGTCTCTTGACCTCTGAGAGGCTGAGGTGTACCTTGCCACAGCTTTGTCTCCCGTCTTCTGGGAGCCCGCTTCCCACTGGTGCCGTGCGCCTTGGCCTCCCTGCACCTCATTGCCTTGTCTGACTCCTCTGCGGGACCCGGAGCACCTTGCGAACAGCGTCTCACTTATTATTACAGCTCCACCTTCCTGCGCAGTGCCCAGAACATAGGAACTCTTGAGAAATATCGATCTAATGAATGAGATTGTAAAACCCAGCCAGCCATCTAATTCCTGGGTGAAGTTGAGAAATACTTGAAATTTGGAACGCTCACATTTTTTTTATCTTTGCTTTCAGATATCAAATGGATCCACTATAAAAGTCTTTAAGAAGATAGCAAATTTTACTTCAGGTAACCAACATAATGTTAACCTTTTGTTCTCACCCAGCCTTAGAAAGTATCACCTGGTTTCTCTCAGGAAACGTGAGAACGCATTGTTGCCGTGTAGTTCTCTGGCACAGAAAAGCCATTTCGGTCTGTTTCAAATCCTGAGAATGCGAGCCCTGCAAGGAGGACAGGAAGCTGTTAACAGTGGTCAGCCTGGGCACCCTGCACCGAGGAAGCTGCTGCCTCTCACTCTCACCAGCCCTAACCGCGGGCAGACTCTGAGCCTTCGGAGCTCCTTACGATCTCCTCAGTAGGCTGGGGCCGACAGAGGAGAGAGCCCTGCACGGCGCGGGAAGCTGGCAGATAATCAGAGCCCTGCAAGTGCTGAACAAACAAGATAATCTGGTAGAAAGCCCAGCTCTCCTAGCGATAGCATTTGCAACATGGCCACAAAGTGGAGGAAAGACAAACTAAAGAGGGAGCTTTTCTAGGAAGGTCACTAGGCTACTCTCTCAACTCTCTTCTGCCTCCCTGACAGCCGAAAGCACTGGGACAGTGCCCTGAGAAAAATCCCTGGGTCCAGTTCCAGGTCTCTTTCCAGAGAAATCAGACCCCAGCCAGGAAAAGCAGTCCTCAGCCCTCAGAAAGGTTCTGGGCGTCACCAACAGGGCCCCCTCTCACTCAGCAGGAGGTGGGGCTTCCCGATTCCTGGACTCAGTACTAGAAGGGCCTGGTGGGTCCTACCACCTGGTCAGTACGAACAGGGAATGCAGGGCTCCCGATGAAATAGACGGGGCAGTTTGGTAGGTTATAGGACACTGCGTGGGGACCCCCGCACCATCTGTCGTTGTATCAGACTGGAGTGACAGAAGCCATCTTGCACGTTCTGGCATAGGGGGATTGGTGTGCTCATGTTATGAAGAGTAGAAGAGTTGTGTTTCAGGCTTCAAAGGCTGAGCCTTTCACAGAGCTTGTTATTTGGGGATCCTGTGTTCGGGTCAGTGCGTTGGACCTCCAGTCAATACCTCTGCCTCCCTTCTGCTCAGTCCAGCCGAGAACCCTGATTTTGATGACTCTCCTGCTGACCCTCAATCCCCTTCCTGCCCCTCCGTCCTTTCATCACCCCCTCTGTCAAAAACCCAGCCCTAGAACCCAGCAACTCGCCCTTCCTGAGCCTACCGCCAGGAGGAGAAAGGCACACGGCCGCTCAGCGGGAGGCACCTCTGAGCTCAGGGTGCCCAGCCCACCAGGGCCTTCAGCACAGCAGCCCGCTCCCACTGTTTCTCTAGGCATCTTGCCTGCCTTCTCCACAATTCCACCCTCTCTCCTCAGAGCCCGACCCACACAGCTCTCCTGACCATCAGTGGGTGACTTCCCCCTGTGCTTGACAGAGAAAACAGAAATCAGAACTCCTTCAACATCCAGCACCAAACTTGCCACGCTACGTGCGTCTCGCTTCCCCTGACACCCGGGGCTCCTCGTCCTCCCACCCAAGGCCCATCCCTCACCTGTGCTTTGTATCCCACCATCTGCCCCGACCTCCCGGGTATTTTCACACCACTAATAATCTCTCCTGTCACCAGCGCGTTCTTTCCCTCCCCCAGCTACTGTATTTTTTCCATCAGCATTTCAAGATGTTCTAGTCTCTCATCTTCAAAACACCAATCCCTCTCTTCCCCTCCAGTCATCACTCCCTTTTCAGCCACGTTTTTTGCAAGACTACCCTCTCGCCCTGCTACTGTCCCACCTGCTCAATGAGCTCGGCCCAATTGCCCTTCTTTCAGATCCTAGACCAGCGCAGGTTCCTTATCCCCTTATCACCTTTGCACCTGTTCCCCCTTCCTCCATTTGCCTGGCGAACTCTCCATTCGTTTGGGTTTAGCTCCAACATCCTCTCCTCAGAAACCTCCCAGACTAAGTCAGTCCCTTGTTAGATATCTTCTTAGCATATAATTCTTCACAATCTTTATCACAGTTGTAATTAAATAACTGTGTAATTAGTAGTATGAAAGTCTCTTATCGACTAGGATGTAAATCCCACTGGGCTGGGAATGAGGTCTTTCTGATTCACTGTTTGATGCCTTGTAGCCCATGGGACACAGTGGGTGCTCCGCGAGTATCTGAGGATGATCAGTAAGGGATCTTTCAGCCAGTTTTCACACTTCCAGGGACAGGGAAACTGCTTCCCACTCCAGTCCCTGGCCCAATCTTCACACTGTTCTTAAGATTTTAAGACACAGCAGGGGGAAAATGTAGCTATGAAGAGCTAAAGTAGAAGAGCTCAAGTCACCTCTTCTTAGCGCAAATGGGGCTTTTTAGAAGACCAGTTAGTCCGTGGTTCTGTTTTTAATGGGCTGTTTTCTCTCCCCCTGCCTGGTGCTCAGATGTGGAATACTCTGACGACCACTGCCATTTGGTGAGTTCAGCTTTCCTGTGCTCAGTGCTGAATTGGATGCATTCTGCAGCGTGAACGATCTCCTTGGGTAACGCTTCTGCTCTGGCTTCCTTTAGATTTTACCAGATTCGGAAGCATCACAAGATGTGCAAGGAAAGAGACATCGAGGGAAGCACAAGTTCAAAGTAAAAGAAATGTATCTGACAAAGCTGCTGTCGACCAAGGTACACTTACTGTCCTGGCAGTGATTTTACGGTTACCTTGGGGATGTATGATGTGTTTGACTTAATTTCCACTGAAGTGTGAAAATGTTACAAATCCCTTGTACCTTCTAGCAAAGCAAAATGGAAGTTTAAATTGTAAACATTTTCTACTCCCTTCTTCTTCTTCTTCTTCTTCTTTTTTTTTTATAAACTGCAAAGGTAACAGCACTTTACAACTTTCTACTGTCACACCTCTAATCAGGGATTTAATATTGTTCCCAGTCCCTTCAGCCACAATTTCACTATTTTTTAGGTTGACAGCATAATTACTCTTTTTTGTTTGTTATTATGGATGAGCAATAAGACTCCCTCTTTGAATTGCAAATAAAATGGGGGGGGGGTCAGTGACTATAAATCTCACTGATTTTTTTTTCATTTTAAAATTAAGAATTCTGTTCACATGTTAGTATTACTTGTGAAACTCAGTGGAATACCAAATTGGGAGTAGATTTTACTTTACCTGGCTGTTAGTGGGATTAACAGAAGTCTGCGGTGAACCCCCCACTCCCCACCCCCACCCCCCACACCCAGGGAAATGACTAGCAATATAAATGCTATTATGTGTACCTGGCCCTGGTCTCCTACTGATGGGCTTCTCCGGGGAGAGCAGAATGCCTGCATGGAGTGGCGTAGATTTGTTCAGTGGGTAGAGGACAGACAGAGCCTCTTGATTTTCTCATCTGTCCCACAGAGCTCTGCCTATATGGTTTTTATAAAACACTCAGACGCTTTGGAAAGTACACAGTAAAACCCTATGGTAGAAATATATGCAAGAGGAAAAATTCTGGGAACAGAGCAACATCACTTGAGTGTTTCAGGCTGCACATAATTAGTATAAGCCAAACATCCGTGGCTTCTTGGTTCATGTACACAGCCCTGCGCTGGCATTTCATCTGCTAGAATTTTCCAGGATATTGTTCATGTTGACTAAACAATGTTTATCAGCAAGAAGCTCTGAACCAAATCTAAACCTGAGCCTGTATTTTCAAGACCACTGTCCCGTACTGTGAGTGCTGGCCTCGTTTAACAATTGTATATATTTTCTCTTCAGCTTGTTTTTTCTCCATTTTGCACAACATTTTCTCTGAACTTGGCTTTCATTTTCCATCATGTTTTCAAAACCAGTCTCCTATTTGTTTTACTCTCCCAATTCTGATGGTCTGTATCTTTCAGGTGGCAATTCACTCTGTGCTTGAAAAACTTTTTAGAAGCATTTGGAGTTTACCCAACAGCAGAGCCCCGTTTGCTATAAAGTACTTTTTTGACTTTTTGGATGCCCAGGCTGAAAACAAAAAAATCACAGATCCTGATGTCGTACATATTTGGAAAACAAACAGGTGAGAACAAACATTAGGTGATTACTGACTATGTTTGAGAATCTGGGACAGAATCTTAACCAAAAGGAGGGCATGGGCAGTCGCGGGGTCCATTTGTCCCCTGGATCAGAGCCTTTTGGCTTGGTCAGCTATCATGTACGTCAAAGCAGTTTCTTGCTGTTACTATTTTATACAATAAAAACCATTCTTATGCAGCGCTTCCTATTCTTTAGGATAAAATTAACAAACTGTTATATATAATGCATGAAAAAGACTGTTTGGAATGTTCAAACGAGTTTAGCTTGACCAGCAAGATGAGAAATTAATATTTTGTGGTTTTATCAGTTTCCTATTAGAGAATAGTTTTCTATTAGATTTGTCCTTCAGAGAATTAATCATTTTGCAATTTCCAAGCTGTCCATATTCAGTCCAATTCTGTATAGAAATTTTTGCTTTTATTTGGTCAAATGCAGTACTCAGATACCATGAGAATTAGCCAAAGGATTGTGCTTTATTTAGATTTTTAACATTTTACCTTAAGCTAAGGCAAGGCAAGACATCCAAATTTATTCTAAATTTCTCCTCAGTAGGGAAACAGCTCATTACCTCTATTTGAAATGTTCCTTGCGCATGAGCTGAATAGGACTCAGAGTTACGATGTAATTACTAGAACTCCTCAGTGCAAGCTCAAGCTCTCCCGAGCATTAAGGTTAGCCAGACCATTTAAAATAAGGATTAAAAGTTGAAGTTCCAGGGTTCTAGGTCTGATCTTCCATTTAATCCAAGTCTATCCCAGCTCCACCATGGCTGTCTCCCTTCCTGTGTTCTCCCTTCCCGTGTTCCAGGCCCTACCGCCCCTGCACCAGGACTGTGGCATCTGAGCAGGCGCAGAAGGGCTGTTGAGAGGCCCAGTAGCCATATGACAGGCATAGTTAGCTAGGTCAGGGCTACGAAGGAGATAATGAAAGGACTTTGAATGTTCCACAAGTTCATATTCAAATATTTATTTGAATACCTACTATGTGCCAACTCCTGTTAGATGCTATAGAAATGAACAGACAAAAATTCAATTATCACAGAGCTTATGTTCTAATAGGTGGAGACAGACAATAAATCAAATAGGTAAGTTGCAGATTAGAAGGTGACTGGTGCAGTGAACAAAGTGGGAAAGGAGGACAGAGAGTGACAGGACCATCTGGTCAGAAGCCTCACAGAGATGACGGCATGTGAGCCAGGTGTTTAACGAAGGGAAGGCATAAACCATGGGACTATCTGGGCAAGATACTTTCAGCAAGATGGCCAACAAAAGCAAAAGTCCTGAGGTGCAAGCCTGCCCGGCGTGCATGGAGAACAGCAAGGGGGCCAGTGGGATCACAGAGAGGCAGGCGGAGAGCAGGAACGGGGGCCCAGGCCCTGATCCTGCAGGGGTTTTATCGGGCGGAGGGTGGAGATCCAGGTTTTGAGCCGAGGAGAGACATGGTCTGATTGTACATTTAGAGGATTTCTAGAAGTTGTGAGAGAATTAGTTGTCGGGAGCTGCGACAAGATGGTGGCTTAGGCCAGGGCCTAGCACTTAGCATGAGAAGAGGTCACGTTCTCGAGATTTGCTGATCTGTTCTCATTGGTAATCATCATCTAATATAACCTAGGACTGCCCGGAGAAAATTTCTGTCTTCAGACTTCTCCTCCTGTCCTCTCTCCCAGTGGCTCTGCCAGTTTAACCCTTCCTTGTCCTGCATGATGCCGCCATCTATAGCCCAGTATATTTGGCAAAGCAGACTTGCATACTTCAGTAATGCAGGCAGACACACTGTACAAACTGGTGAACAGAGCATATGCGTAGGGCATCCACGTCCTAGGAACGGCTATATCTGAAAAGACATTTCTATGTCTCGGAACAGCCTTCCTCTTCGCTTCTGGGTAAACATCCTGAAGAACCCTCAGTTTGTCTTTGACATTAAGAAGACACCACACATAGACGGCTGTTTATCAGTGATTGCCCAGGCATTCATGGACGCGTTTTCTCTCACAGAGCAGCAGCTCGGGAAGGTAAGGCTCAGCTCTAGTATTTCTTGTATGAGTCTGAAGTGCTCTTTCTTGTAGATAGTCAAATGATAAACACTTAGTCAAAATCACACAAGCTAAAAAGAAATAGTCAATTATGTCACTGAAAATTTGCTTTTCTTTAAAATCTGTCTTATTTATTTCTATTTTAATCTAGTTTTTTTTTTTAAGGGAAAGCCAAAAATTATTATACTAACCCAACTGCAGAACTCTTTTCCACATAATATAAAAATATTCTGCAGACATTAAGAAACTATAAATTCAAAGTAAAAACTACTAAAATTGGCCTAAATTAATTCCATTGGAATATACCAAAAAAGAACTTACTTGAATATAACAAATTGTTTTGGGGAAAGAAAATCTTACCCAAGATTTCAGCCACCACCAGTTGGCAAGTTTATAATTGAAATATCAGTATTGGTTTTATTATGGTTTTCTTAGCTGAGCAAAAGCCCTAAGAAAGCAAAGAAAGACGAAAATGCACAGCAAACTTCGAAAGAGATGTTTTGGCCCTATTCAAGCACTCCAAAATATATTAAACTGAGCAGTATCTGTAGCTAATGGATTTCAGAAAATGTCCAAGCCGAGCTGTGGCTCTCAGCTAGGACCACTCTGGGAGTGCCTGGAACGAAGTGGGACCGATGCCCCACAGGGGATTCAGACTCCCAGTCTTAATCTAAACTCACCATCACCCCAGTTCTGCAAGATAAGCCTGTTTTTACTTTTGTCTTTCTAAACTTGCCTAGTCTCTCAAGGTAGAATCTTTGACTCCTTTCTTCCTCCCTCAAGAAGGAAGAGGTTCTTTCTGCCAACCCCTATCCACATTTGGGGACTGCTCACTTTGGTCTCTAAAATATCTATCCCTTTCTTCCTCCCCTCTCCACCGGGCTCGCTGCCCGCTGACTGGCGGCCTTGCGCCTGCTGTCCGTCTCATCTCCCCAACTTCTCCTTTTCAGTGTCTCAGGTTCTCTCTCCAAAACACCAATCTACTCTTGTCAGTCTCCCGCTTAAAAAATTGTAAATACCTTCCATTATTTACCACAGCCCTCCCTGAGCGGGCTTCAAGTCTCTTTTCTGGTCTCATCATTTTCTTGCACATTCCACACACCTCCGTACTATAGCTTTTACTTTTCCCAAGTTTACCATGAACTTGTTTTCACATCCCTTTGCTCATCTCTTTCCTGCCTCATAACTCATCTGAGTAAAATCGTACTTATTCAGTCACTCACCAACATTTCATTCATTCAATGTGGTTTCTTAATGTGTACCAGAAACTGTAGGAGACTCGGATCAGCCTAAATATACTTAGCCTGTGAACTTTGCCCTATGTAGTTCCCACAGACTTGCTTCATTTGATCAATAAAGTTCTTTTTAGCACACACCACACTGAAAGACACTTAAATGTTTATTTATTCAAAGCCAAAATTGGCTTGGTTTACTGATTACATGTTCTTGGTATATTTGTTAATCCTCACAAGAACCACATAAGGTAATTAATATTATCCTCATTTTATAGATGAGGAAATTGAAATTCTAAGAGGTTACAAGTCTTGTCTAAGATCACACATTATTATAATCCCTGATTTACCCAGTTCTACAGTCCTTTCCTTTACTCTCCACTCTGCCACTCATCACTGGTCTCATAGTGAGCACTGTGTGTCCCCTCAGCTAGAGTGCAAGCTTCTGAAGAGCAGGTCCCAGTGTTCCTCACCTTTTTATACTCAGTGCCTGCTCCCAAAAATCTTTAATGAATGATTGTATGATTTGGGGGTTCTACTTAAACTTGACAAGTGAAAAAAACCCCTCAAATCTCAGTTTTGGCATGATTCACAATGATTCATCAGGCCATTGATAGGGCCATTCAAGCCATCGATACATTTTAAAACATATTGGGATGTTAGCCCTCTTAACAACTCATCTATCTGCCCTAAATAGAATTTTTCAAACTTTTGTGAAAAATGATTTAAATAATAATTTTAAAATAATGATTTTAAAAATAAAATCACGTATTTTTTTAATATTATCGCTGTTATGATTACATAAAAACATTCGAACTGCCAGAAAACTTTTACAAAATCAGCTATCCGATCCACCTATACTAATGACCATGTGCTTCCCTGAGGGAGGGCAATGGAAGATCTTTATAATCTATTAAAATAAACAGGACAAGCAGAAAAACCTGCCACTGCCAATTACTTACCACTTTCATCGTTATAAAAAGGGCTCAATCAGACCTACAATCAAATCTTTTATAAATTCCAAAATTCACTGGTGGGTGAGGATGAGAGCAAATGTTTTAATTCAGGCTTTTTACAGCTATTAGTAATGAAGTATGATTGAAATAAGTTCCATTGTTACAGTAACTCAAATCATGCAAAATAATAATTTTAGTTCTTTTATGAGAGGAAGGCAGAATATATTAGCATTTAATCTGCCTGAAAATAACAGTGACTCACCATAAGTATCTGGATAGCAGTCATTCACTCAGTCAACATTTATGGAGGCCTACTGCATGAGGAAGCCTTGCTACCAAGGGGGAATGATAGGGGTGGAGGCTTAGCTACAGAAGTACTGCTTTGAATTCCCATGGTTCTTTTACTTTTTGGTGGTGGTGGTCATTTTTTTCCTCCTCTCTGCCTCTTTTTCTTTTTTTAGGAAGCACCAACTAATAAACTTCTCTATGCCAAGGATATCCCAACCTACAAGGAGGAAGTAAAATCTTACTACAAAGCAATCAGGGATTTGCCTCCATTGTCATCTTCAGAAATGGAAGAATTCTTAACTCAGGAATCTAAGGTATGGTTGGAAAGTAGGAATAAGATATTTGGTTTCTCCTTTTTTTTAAAAAAAGGTCATTTCAGAATCTCTCAACAAGCCTTTGTTGTTGTTTTTTTAAAGAAACATGAAAATGAATTTAATGAAGAAGTGGCCTTGACAGAAATCTACAAATACATCGTAAAGTATTTTGATGAGGTAAGATTTTAAATGACATTTTAAGAAACTGGTATCAGTCACCAGGATTGGTTATAAAAGCATTCTGTAGGTCTCAGAACAACTCTGGCATCGAATGGCCAGAAAAGGGAGGCCAGGGTGCCTGTCCGTTGGGGGATCTGGCACCAAGCCAGACCCTGCAATTGGCCGCTGCCCCTCTTAGTTTTGTGTTGCCCGCTTTTGGACCAGCCCGGATTGACATTTGAGTTCATGGGGCCTCCAGCCACGCTGACGGAAATTAACTTTGATGAGTAGTTGTGGTCTTATTAAATGGGGCCAGCTTATGCTTGAGTGTAATCTGCTAAAATGAAAGCTAAGCTTGTAAAATCGCCTAGATTCTGTATTCAATAGTTATATGAAAGTATGACATTTTCCGAACTTAAGCAACTATTTCAATAAACCACTCTCCTTAATGATTAAATCTCCTTAATCTGGATTTTTTTTCTTTGGGAATTCACACAGACATAGTCGTCAGATGCGTTGTTTCCAAATATATGTTAATTCCCCCTTCCCTGATTCCCCCCCACTCAGTCATGCTGGGACAGGCTATCCATGTCAATGGTGAGAATAGCTCACCAATTCCATTTGCTACTTGAAGATCAAGTGAAGAGCTAAGGTAGGGTAGAGGCAATGAGCTCCTTAAACATGATAAGCATCCTTCTTTCCAGGGGTCAGGGGTTAGAAGGGAAGCACTGGGAATGGGACGGGAGGGGAGGGGACGGGAGGGGAGAGGAGGGACTAGACTGCCCAGGATGGGAGGGGAGGGAAGGGAAATAGTCATCTCTGATCAGGATGCCCCTGTGCCTGCTGCATTTAAGAAGAAATACTTGCCTGCATGTTGGCTGCCCAGAAATGCTTGCTGTGCTTGGAATGGCTGTGACATAATGCATAAAACAGGGCCTTGGAGGTATGGCCCCATATTTGTAAGCAAACAGTTGGTATTTCTTGCAAGCTTCTATTTTAAGCCAAAGTGTTGTTGATCCTGTGATAATGACTTAGCAAAACAACTTGCAAAGTGAGTATGTAAATGATCGAAGAAATTGATGGCATCTGCTTCATATAGAGTTTACCACTCACAGCATCAGGAATGCAAAAAAAAAAAATAATTGTAATGCTAAAACCACAGTATCTAAAATAACTGTTCTAATTGTCAACAGATTCTAAGTAAACTAGAAAGAGAACGGGGGCTGGAAGAAGCTCAGAAACAACTCTTGCATGTAAAAGTCTTATTTGATGAAAAGAAGAAATGCAAGTGGATGTGAGCATTCTGGGGCCTGGCTTAATCTGGCAAAGTTCTTCAGATGACTTGGGAGCAAAATGGCTGCCTGAGCTACTCTGCGTCGTTCATTTTTAAAGTTTGCACATAGGTTCCACTTTGAGCACTGTCTACAAGAGACCAAGGCACATGCACAGCTTTTAGAAAAGCATACCAACTCTTGTGCCTGTGTGTATACTGTGGGAACCCTTTTGTAAATAGAGTTGAAGTGGTTGTTGCAAACAGCCTCCTTGTTTACAGAGAATACAGGGCCAGTAAGCAAGTGTCAGTATTGTAACTACAGTCTCCACTTAAGCACAATGATATAAGTGGTTTTGTTTGAAAACTACAGTTATGTAGCACTTGTGACTACACTGCACCTCTGCAGAAAAGGGACACTGCCAGTGATAAAACAAAATGTGAAACGAGTCATTTGGAAACAAGGTGGAGGTGTTAGGGCAACCTTGAGGATGTGCAGCATCGAAACTTTCCCCAGTAGTTCTTGGAAAAGTCGACGGCAGAATTTGGTAGTGTGTACACTTAGCATTTGTGAGTGTGTGTATGTGTTTTTAAACCAAAAACTAACAGTGTTGCAACATTGTTGAAAGGGCTCGTGTTTTTCAGTGGTCACCAACTGCACTCCGTCACTCGCCTCCATGTCACTAACGGGCTCTAAAGCAAGGAGAGCGAGCCGGCTTTAAGTGCAACAGCATTTTATCCAGACACTTTGTCCTAGGGTATGTTCCTTTCTTTCATTTTATTTTTTCAAACTAAATGTATTTGATAGTGGACATGATGAGTATTTTAAAAAATTAGTTTATTTCTGTCTAAAAACTTTGATCAGATCTGTGGAAGAGGAACTCCCTCCGCTAATCCTACATTTCTATACTGGAGTCTCCTTGCTTTAGCGTTCTGGTGAATCCTGTGGTTATAAATACTTGTGTGTGATTTAAAAAAAAAAAAAAGATACATTTTACATTTCATGAAATTGCTGTTCACATTGGAGTATTATATATTAATATATATATATATATTTGAGGCCCAAGGCCTGAAAAATATTAGTATAAAACTTGGTATCTTAGTCTTACTATGTACTTTTTGAAAGTATTCCTCACAAGAGAAAGAGTGAAAATACTCATCTTATTCATGCCTTTCTTTTTAAAGAATTTCTTATCTAGTTACACTGTAGTCTTTCTATTGCTGTATTTTTTTTATTCCTGAAATTTTGCTGCTCATGACCAAGTTTAATACCACTGTGTTTTCCTTCTAGTAAATCAGAAGTAAAAAGTGTAATTGGCAACTCTCAAACATTCCTTGCGGCACCTTTTACCCTTGGTGCTCCCAATCCCAACTTGAGGAAAGGAATTTTTTCAAGTAGCAAATAAAACATTGATCACACATTCCTTAAAATAACTTACCAACACTGTATGGGATATCAGGATTTAAATGTGAATTTGTCTTAGATAAATGCAATTTATTTTGCTCCTCAATATCTGGTAAGAAGTGAGAGATGATAACTCAACAAGCCAATCAGAGAAAATAAGCAGTTATGCCCTGACAGGTACCTTCCCAATCCTGTTGCTTTTGACCAATGGACACACCTCAAAAATACTACCAAATAGGTGACTTGTAAGTATAAAGGTGAGAGGTCTGGTCCCCATCCAAGGCTGCTGCAGTCTTGATGTGAAGGCGTGCATAAGGGAACAACAGTAGGAGAGTTGAGAGCCAACGGTAGGAGAGTTGCCCAAAAGACTTCCCCTTCTTTAGGGTAAAGAAATGCTAAGAAAACTCGAAGGAAGAGCTACAGCTTTATCTGAGTATTTAGTAAAAGCTCCGTGAGGGTGTCCCCGTCCAGCTCTCTGGCACATGAGTCCTGTGTGGAGACTTACCCCCTCTTCCAGGGACTGTGCTGCTGGGAACTTTGGGCAAGTCACTTACCTCTTTGTGCCTCAATTTCTGTATATTTCTATCCTACCTCATTGAGGTGGTGTGAAGATTCACTAATATATGTAGCGTGTTTGTCAATCCTCCAGTGAAAAGCACTATCTAGATCACATTTTGGATCCCATTAGTCAAGCACAGTAAATGGCCAAATTAGATGTGTGCTGAAGACAATCAGTCACTGGGTCTATATTAAACAGCAACCAGAGAAACAAATGGCAAACAACTTATATTTTCAAGTTTCTTTGCATATTTTTTTGGTGCAAAACCATTTATAAACTTTTTTTTTTTTTTTTTTAACTAACACTAGTGTCTACAGCAGCATTTAAAAATTAATTCTGTTAACCTTTCCGTATTAGGGATTTAAAGTCTATTTCTTATTGTATACCTAATTGAAGCTGTTCTTGGAGATGAATGTTTTAAATGTCTATATCCAAAAAATAAACATTTTGATGTAAATATGGACTGTTCTTGCCTTTTTTGCCTTCAAGTTTTCTACTTAAAATAGTTTGTTGGGTTTTTTTTTTAACTTCAAAAGGCTTTAGGGAAATTTATTTTTCAGGATCAAGATGTCATTGCGCATATTCTATGTGAATAAGCAGCTACATTATGTAGTAAGTGAAGTCAGTTTCTTCTAAATGATGCTAAGGGCTGCTCAATCACATTGCTGGCCTCCACTGTCACCTTAGACTCTTGTTTGTGAAGACTTCTGGATAATGGACACTTTGCTTGGTTTGGCAGGCTTGCGTTTGCCTTGTGGATGTGAAGTTATTCCAGCAGAATTCCTTTAAAAGATGATGTTACATAAAAAAGCAAATAATGACATACTTAGGGATGCACAGAAACAAAACATTTACAGTAAGATGGTTAGATCCAAAGCAGTGGGAAGCAAAGTTAAATACCAACAATACTTCTAAAGGGACCCCACTGGGTTCAAGTTTTATAATGAATGACCCTTTGTTTTGTACAGCCACAAGATTTAATTATTTGTACTTCATTATTTTCTGTTAATTCTAACTCAAAAGTCAAAATCAGTGAGATCTTCTACGTTGCTAAATATATACTGTATGGTTGAAAAAAAATCAAACACCAGACCATATATCTGGATAAAAAATATTCATGAAGCTCTTTAATACATGATGTGCATACAGATTTTAGAAAAGATAGTGTTTTACGTTTAGATATCTTTAATAAAGTTGTATTTTTTATGCTGACCTTTAAATTGTCATCTTTTTCCAAGAGTTTATAACTCTTGTATAGTAAACCAGAAAATGTTTACTGACCCCATTATTGCCAAGCATCTCAAAGAAGAGGAAGACCGAATTCAACATGGGCATATTTCAGGCAAGGTGCCCCCAAAATTCAACCATGTAAAATTAATAAAATAATTTTAAAATTTGATTCCTCAATTAAATCCATTCCTCTTATTTATTTTTTAACATTCTCAAAGGGTTGTCAATAAATACTCTAAATATCTCTGAAGCTGTGCTAATGCTTCACTTGTCTGTAGTATAATTCTAAAATCCCGACATGCACGCAATACGGCATATAGCTGTTACCTTGAGGTAAATTCAAGGGTTTTGGTCAACAGTAATAAAGTACCTAAATGCCACATAGGTTAAAACTTCAAGCTTTATTGAGTCACTAATTTCATTCCTTTTGATCTGCTTTTTCTCCAAAAAACATCATTCCCCAGGTGACCCAAGTTCCTCTAGTTGTTTTCTTTGTGTTGTTTCTAGTTCTTCTAGTCTTTTACGAAGTAGAGAGAGTTCCCTTTGATGCTGTTCCTCCTTAAAAGCACAGAGAAAGAGAAAAAAAACACAGAAAAGGCTCAGAAAAAGAGACTTAGAAAAACTGGTGGAAAAATAACTTAGGCAGCAGCCTCAGTCCTCTTTCATTCAGGCCTGCACACCAGGCGAGGAAAGGACGCCCACTTGAGTCTGAGGACGCAGCAGCGTGTGCCACACTGCCAACCAGCCCTGCTTCTCTCCTGCCTCTGGCTCCAGCCTTAAGCAAAACCACAGATCTGCCCTCTTCTAGGTGTAAAATTCACCAGGAAGTGAATTAGAAAGGACTCACGCAGGGCCTAGGTGCTCTTACATGACAACTTCCTAACAAGACTGGAGTTTAATAGTTTATTATAAAGGAAGTACTTAGTCTGATTCAATTCGGTGACTAAAGTCTTACAGCATTATAAATCTAATTACTTATTAATATTTCATCTTCTGAAAATCATCCAACCAATGTGATTCCTTCAATAGCTCAAGTCCCTAATACAGTAGAGAATTAGCCCAGGTTTTAGAATCAGACAGATACAAGCTGAAACTCAACTCTGTCAATTATTAACTCTGACCTTAGGGAAGTCACTTCACCTCTCTGATTCGGTTTTATAATCTGTAAATTGGGAATAATAATACCTCTCCTCAAAGCATTTTTCATTGGGACTAAATAAAATATTATATGGAGAATGCAGTGCATTAGTAAATGCTTGATAATAGGATTACGTGAGTGAGCTACAAACTTTACTCAAAACACTCATCAATCAAGTTCTTTCTTTTTAATCACCTAATAGAAGATTTTACTCCTAGCACCATCACTAGAGAATAGAATAGATTCATATCCACTTTGCTTCTCAGCAAACTTCTCTGGTAAAGAAAGATTTGAGTGTTTTTCTGCACTTAAACAGGTGAAAACTTACAGGAATGTCTGACTAATTTTGGCCCTAAAATAAAAGCTCATACCTGCATATGTGGAGGAAAGGCGAGTTCCGTGCCTGGAATCAGGGTTGATGACTGAAAGCTGGCAGGATTGACAGAGGCTGTTGGAGGTATGTTAGGAACCAAAATTAAACTTCGAAATTCATTATGTCTTCTCTGTATATCCTTTAGTCTTTTTTGAAGCTTTGTATATTCTTCAAATGGAACATTTTGTCTTGAAAAGAAAAAAAAGTTTGTTTTTTAACAGTTATATCCTATTGAAGAACAGTATGATTCACAGAAGTTTAAATAGGAAGAGAAGGATTCCTAAATGATAAGGCTTATCTGTACACATTATATATAAAACTCTATCAATAAATAAGAACAGAAATATGAAATGATATCTTAATTATAGGTATTACTGTAACCACTGCATTGCAGGATATCAACTCATTTTGAAAGTTTATTTGCCAAGTAAAAATATTGATACTTTTATTTTCATTTCTACTCTACTCCCCAAACCCATGAAACCGGTAACTAAAAGGAGACAATTTAAATTCAAAGGGTGCCTTATTTTACAGAAGAAATCAAACAAATACAAAAAGACACGAGGTTGAAGCTTATGAAATTGCTGTTTTTTTCAGTAAAATATGGTCAAATATAGGGAATTTCATATTGTTCAACCTACTTTTTGAAAATGTAGCTTAAGGACAAAAGTGAAGTCCCAACATTAGAGAAAACATGACGTAGATAAAAAAGCGAACTTTTCAGGCCTTCACAGATCAACTTTTCAGACATGAATTTCCAGACCATCAACCAACACCAGTAATCAAATAGTTTCAAAACCTCTCAAAGTTGTAGAGGATCTGTGTCACAGCCGCCCAATCTTGAATTGATAATATTTCAAAATTAATGATTATGAAAGAGTTTGTATGTTGAATTTTGTTTTAGAATGAATCTGGTGGCATCTTTCTTTGGAACAGAGTATTATTATAAAATTGGCATTAATTCCAGAGTCTAGAAACTTCTTGGTTGTTATTAAAAAAAAAAACAACTGTTCACATTTTGGTAATTATACTCAAGAAGGCCAGAGTACATTTTAAAACACTACTGCTTGATATTATAGGCAATTTCCATTGTAGAAAAATATGACACTGTCTAAATTCTGAAGGGCTATCACTAATTAGCTGAATCTGCGAAGTTTTTATTGTTCACTTGAATCAAATGTGTCATCAATGCCACTACCACTTACTTAATATGGGAAATCTTCTCTGCTCAAAAATGTCGATTACTAGCTGTGCTTCGATGTAAATGAAAAAC